CCATTTAAAAAAAATCCTCAGTTTTTCTCTGTTACTCCCAGTACCACGCGCATCTGTTGGCATCCCTCCGAGAGTAAGTGTGATACTTCCAGAGTTTCTTTTTAATAGCAGCTGTTAATAATTCCTTATCCAAAGATGGCTGTCTTCTGGGTAGTTACGCCGTGTACTCTGGTAGAAGTTACCGACTTATCTCCCTGATAATGGAGGCAGTAGGTACCTCTAAAACTACCATACTACACGACACAACATCCCAAAGAAGAGGAATTTAAGGGAATAAACACGTGGTATACAAAGTCTTTAGCACAACTCTTACTTTCAGTAACTGCACGTGTGACCTTGAAGAATCAGAGGTTATGTTCAGTCATGAATTACGAATATCGCAAATCATATCAAATTAGTTCTGGATTTGTGAAAATTATATGTGGAAAAACTGGTTAAGCATGTTATCTATAACAGTGATAACACGGTAATGCTTACGTTGAGAGATGGACGCCATTTTAAATCTGACGGAGATCAACAGATGACGGTCGAGTGAGCTTAATGTCTGTTTGCACCGAACAACTGCTTCCTACCACATCCCTACCTACCGACTCTTAAAAAATCTCCACAAAACTTAAAAATCTTCGTGTTCAACAACAGAAGGAATAAAGACGTCATTCTAAACTGCCTTTTACCACTCGAATCATATGTAAAGAATCAAACCCCGTTAGAGCGCCACACTTTGTATACCGCCAATACTGGTATTAAAGCTGGACCTAAGATAAACTGTATTTTTTATTTTAGATTCACATTTATTTTTATGTATTCAAGTGCTATACAGAGCATTTAAAAGATTGAAATATATGTCATATGATGTAAATAATTTTAAATATGTTTAATTCAAATTCACATTTGTGTGAGTTATTGGAGAAAATGGAGGAACGAAAAATATATCTTATACTCGATCTTGAAATTAGTAAATATAGGTGGTCATGGTTTTCCGTGCCCACGTGGCGGTCTTCGCCCTTTTTTAAATCCGCTCTCAGTATTTACTGAGTTTTGGTCATGCCTGATCTACAGAATGGATCATGCTAAACTGTAAAATATTATAGTGATTAAAATTTAAAATTAAATAATTTTAAAATGCTGCTGTTTAAGACAGGGTGATATACGAAGAATGAGAAATGGTAAATATACGATCATATAATAAAAACATTAATTGGAATAAATTATTTAGTGGTAACCTTATACAGTACAGGAAAAAGAATACAAAACAAAATTAATGGTAAGGAAAACGCGAGCCTTAGACGTCATTAACAAGTGTTTAGGAATGAAATAATTGTACCGGGCTAATTTCATAAAATTTATATGGCACTGTGAAGAATAAACAGCTCGTGAACAAGAAATTAGATCAGTAGTTTAACATATTTTGAGACTGGAATTTGGAAATGTGAGGGGTGAGGAGAAGTCTTGAAAAGGAAGTTGCCCCATGTAGGAAGAAGGGAGATTCTACGAAAACTGTTACATAGCAAGGATTTGGGTAATATAACAAGACCGTAAATGATAGAAATTCAGGGGTAAAAAGTTGTCAGTGGAACCACGGTTCCGGAGAATTAGACGTAAATACGTCTATACGGAAAGGAAGTTTATATATTGGCTTTATTCTAAATATTTCCTTTATACATGCTTTACAATTGAGAGAAGGCAATGGCAAATCACTTCTGGATCATCTGCCAAGAACGTATATGAACAGGTCCCAGTCCGAGAAAAGGATGGAAGGATCCTGTTCATATGGACCTGTCGTCAGACAGAACACTAATAATAATAATAATAAAAAAACAGACGACGTTTCGTAGGTACATTGTTACACTTTTTCGTTACACTTTTTTGCCGAATGACCCTTCCTCATAGACGTATTTACGTCAAAAAATTTATAATTCAAAGTACTTACTGCGCATGGCATAATTGCAGTCGCGTGTAATTTATAACGATGCAATTCCGAGTTGTCAGGAAAGATTATGTAAGGGTCCGAACATTAGCAAAACGAAGGCAACACGTCGTTATGATAAAGCGAAATGCTGACTTGCAGAATTAGCACGGGATCGGCACAGACAGCCAGATTTTGATACTCGGAAAGATCCGATTCACAATGGACTCAGGCGTCTTCATCCTCAGCATCGTCATCACCATTGTCTCAGGTACGACGTAATTGTTCTCCGGATCTCAAGCCACGATCAGCCAACTTCTCAGTGACTTCGGATTAGATGATCAGGTTCGAAGTTTGATAACTAGACGGAATTAGATTATGCGAATTTCTTGGCCAGGTAACCGCACAGATTGTACATAAAATTGATAGCGAAGCTTCTAATAATGTATGTGTGTTTGTAAGATTATTCTTGTTCTTAAAATTATTCGTTGTCACGACATTTTCCCATCGTCTATTCTTTAAAACCCACGACGTTTCGGACAGAGACTAGCTTTATCTAAGGGACTCAACAGAGTACGTACCTCACCTGAAGACGGATACAGAACCAACCTCCGAAACGACGTGGGTTCCTGACAACGAATAATTTTAAGTGTAATTTACCCTTTAGAATTAATTATTCTTGTTCGCCTTCAGTATTTTATGAAAAAACTGATGCTATTAGCCATAATTCATGAGTACTATTTAAAATCGCACAGAATGCTTATGGAAAACACGTACAATCTACTTGCAGCTGTGGGGTACTTAATTAAGCATGAGGACAACTTCGCCTTTGAATTGCCAGTCTCTTTTTTAAGCATAATTTCGCCCAACTTACTCGTGTTAAAATTTACTTTGTTATAAACGTTTTTGTACTCTTGAATCGCCTGTATCGACACGGAGTCATAAGAGGATACTCCATTTGTAAACAAGTGAAAGTCGAATACAAATTGTATATAATCACATTTCTTCTTAACATGTTGTTACAACATATGGAAGAGTGTCTTTGTAGAGTCTTCCTGGATGTATGCAACAGCATATGCTGTAATGTTCGTTCTCAATTGCTTACGTTTTAAGGACAGGAGTAAAGTTACGGAGCTGCTGGAAGGAACTTTCGTCAGTAAATGAAGTTTATCGTATTCATAATAGATGGCGATATCTTATTCTCAATATCGATCAATTGTACTGCCTTACAAATTGTAGCCTATCAAATAATTGTTTTATCAACACTAAACTGATTTATAATCAGGTCTTTGAGGTCGTGAAACAGACGTAAAATTTATTCAGACCATAGAGTGCGTAAATTTACTGTCGAGATTTAAGGATATTAGCAGTTTCAAGCGTCATGTTTCTTCAGCTATTTAGACTTTTGGCAGGACTCCTTGGATGAGTGATCAGCCCGTAGAAAGGGCTCTACCTTTACACAAGACAACAGAACACAGGAAGACGCAGACAAACACTTGTTAAGTCACACAAAGTATTCCAATTAATTACACTGACTTCTGATTAAATTATTAATATATGAAACTGTGCACCCAAGTCCTCAACATATGGATATACGTGTTTAAGAGATTATTTATTTATTTATTTAGTGTTCTGTCTGACGACAGGTCCATATGAACAGGATCCTTCCATCCTTTTCTCGGACTGGGACCTGTTCATATACGTTCTTGGCAGATGATCCAGAAGTGGTTTGCCATTGCCTTCTTCTGTGTGTGAATGGAGTAATTGTCGGGATGCCACGGAGGAAAACTCTGTGTTGCCTAGACCACGGCCTTAGATTATCAACTATTAAATAGTTTATCTTGTTTAAAATTAAAACAGTTCGATCTATGTTCTTAAATTATTTAATGATTCTAATTTTAAAGAACATGAGATGGATGTCAGAAGAAATGGTGTTCCTCTGTTAATTTAAAACAAAAATTAATCAGTGTTGCTTGCAGAACATTGGTTCCACTTTATACAAGATTCTAGACGAAGAACTTCCAGATACAGGTTGTGCACTGGGGAAGGAAGATACTTCAGAGTTAAATTTACTAATTATCATCATCATCGTTACTTAAATCTTGTCAGGTTGGTAAAAGACATACAATTCTTAGGTTGCTGGAAATAACAATTTTCAGCGTTCGTAATTATTCCTGCGTTGAAATTACAAAACTTTTGCCCAGCACAAAATATTCGCACTTTGAGCCTCTGGTAAAGTAGGGATTATTTATAATTGACAGGTGGACATAATTTATTAAACTCTCTTCATATCTTCTATTGTGCATCCACAGTACTAAATTTCATCAGCATCCATTCATTTCCTTCGGAGAGACAACGCGGATGGATGCTGTATCCATAAACCCGTCCCTTTATGCTCAGAAAGCATAATAAATTTGACAATGGGTTAAACAGTTTTGTTAACCTCAACTGAAACACTTAATATTAGTATCCAACAATAATTTATCGTTGGCGATATTAATCTTTCGACTTTTATCGACAGAACGTAAGATAATATTAAAATTTAACACGTTGTAAAGATATGTAGAAGAGATTATGATGGTTTCCACACCATTAAATGTAGAGTACCACAAAAGAAACTTCACGCCTGATTAGAAGCCAGGAACTTTAGAAAACTCTTAACTTTTAACATAGATAAACACAAAGTGTGTCAGATTTGAGGGCCAAGTTTCGTCAGTGCAACGCGTGGTGATAAGGAAGGGCAGAGATTATCTGCAGGCCACCAGCCTTCAGCTTTTGAAGTCGTTCTCAACTACAGTACCCTGCATTTCACAGATACAGTCGAATCAACACATCTGCGAGCTTGAGCTACGTCACTGGACGGAAAGGGGAAGGGGAAGCAAGACGTCTAATGCGCAGTCGCAAAC